ATATATATATATATATATATATATATATATATATTTTTTTTTTTTTTTTTTTTTTTTTTTTTGCAGCTGGCCAGTTTGGTGATCTGAACCTGTGGCCTTGGTGTTATAAGGCTGCACTTGAACCAGCTAGCTAACTGGCTAGCCAATAATGTATATATATTTTTTTCAATGATATTTTAAAATAAAAGATACTGGTGGGTGGCCATCATATCAATAATTTTTCTAAAAGCCCAGGAAAGAATGTTAATCAGTTGGGTTTTTGTTTTGTTTTCAGTTTTTTCCTATGGAGGTAAAAGAATGTGGTACAGAGGTTATGTGACTTGGTATAGATTTAGAGCTTGAAAAATCCAGTGTAGGGATCAGCAAACATTCTACAGAGGGCCAGATAGTAAATATTTTAGGTTTTACAGGTGAAAGCAACTATAGACAATACATAAAGAAATAGGCATGACTGTATTCCAAAAATTCTTATTTTAAGGCATCAGATTCCTTTTTTTTTTTTGTCTTTTTTTGTCTTTTTCCATGTCCAGCAACGGATCGCAACCCTCAGTGTTGCCCCTGTACTGGACTGGGGACCGGCAACGGGATTGCAACCCTCGGTGTTGCTCCCGCGCCTCGCTCAGCCAGTGAGCGGGAACCGGTCTGTATGTGGGATCCGAACCCTCGGGCGGGAGCGCCGCCGTGCTTCCCAAGCGGCGCACTATCCATTGCGCCACCGGGCCGGCCCAGATTTCTTATTTATACAATGGGGATGAGACTTACTCTACATAGGGGGTCTTATCCCCATAAGAAAACATATCCCCATGAGAAAACATACCCTAGTATCTAATGCTGCCTGGCACCCAGCACTCACTCCACAACCATTAGCTCTCTTCCTTCAATATGCTCCAGGCCCTACCTGCTCTGTTCCAATAAAAATTTCCAAGAATAGGTCTGGAACTAATTCACACTGAAAGATAAATCACAGTACTGGAAGTTCTGTGATCCTCCTAGGGGCATTTGCGTTTTAGCTGTAGCCCAAGGATTGGATTAGATGGTTGGTTTTTTGTTTTGTTTTTTTGTGTCTAAGTTTCGTGGTAGGGAGGGGAGGCTTCCTTCGCAGCCCCTGAAATCAGACTGCATATGTAGCTTATTGGTAAGCTTTTGCTTAAAGGCCTTTTGACCTTGAGGAGCTGGGATTCTAATAAAAGTGCTCCTTATGGCAATGCCCAATAACAGACAGCAGAGCAAGCCAGCTGGGCTTCAGACAGTGATGTTTCCTGTTGAATGAACCCTGGATGCCCGGTTGGCTGACTCCCTGTTTGGATCAGGGTGGAGGAGGCAACATTTCTATTGATCTGCTTCTTTCATCACAAAGTTGAAAATCGGGGCCGGCCCGTGATTCACTTGGGAGAGTGTGGTGCTGATAACACCAAGGCCACGGGTTCGGATCCCATATAGGGATGGCCGGTTAGCTCACTGGGTGAGTGTGGTGCTGACAACACCAAGTCAAGGGTTAAGATCCCCTTACCAGTCATCTTTAAAAAAAAAAAAAAAAAAGAAAGTTGAAAATCATCCCAAAGACATCTCACGGGGCTCAGGTTGTCAGGGTTCTCAAGGTCAGCCTGACTCAGAGAGAGACAGTAAAGGATTTCAAGGAAGCTCTATTCACCTAAAAATCTTCCCTGACCTGTTTATTGAAGGCTGATAGCCCTCAAACCTGGGTTGATGCTTTCTACTCTGCATTGGAACACAGACACCAGAGGGAGAAGGACCAAGTGACTTCCATTTGCTTTAGGGATGAAGAGATTGACTGACAGCAGGCCTTGACTGACAGCAGGCCTTTCCTGAGAAAGACCAAATATACAAACACAATGGTTAGACCTTACATAAAAATAAAATTCTGGGGCTGGCCCTGTGGCTCACTCGGGAGAGTGCGGCGCTAGCAGAGCCGAGGCCACAGGTTCAGATCCTATATAGGTGCAGACCACACTGTGCCGAGGGTTGTGATCCCCTTACCGGTAAAAAAAGAAAAAAACTCTGATCCACAAATTAGCAGCAACCATCTCAGGATGCCAGCCTACTATTTACAAATCAGACTTGTAAAAAGTCAGACCACTATCTCTGGCAACCAGTCGAGGAAGGCGAACAGTAATACCTGCAACAATTGGCCCCAAACAGCCAGGACTTGATTAATAACTGACAGCTTCCCTAATTTTTGCCCCTGCTTCCAACTTGACCAACTGGAGAAAGCCAAATATGCTCCTCTAACATAGGACGTCCCACTTCTAGTTAGCCCACCTACAGCTTCCCTGTGCCAACAGCCTCCAATCAGGGCAGACCTGAAGCCCTCCCTTTTCTCCACTACAGAGCTTTCCCATTCTACCTGCCTTTGAGTCTCTACCAAAGGCAAGTCATGGTGGCTCACTCCCTGCTATTGCAAGTTCTGAACAGATAGCCTTTGCTTATTCTCAAAAAAAAAAAAAAAAAAAGGAATAAAAACGAAAACAAACAATAAAGAAAACAGGTGTCAGGCCTGATTTGCTGACTCCTGATCTAGAAGAATGGTATGGGACTCATGACAAGTTCCGCGGAACAGGTGAAGGAAGACAAAGCTGGGGGTATTTATTTTATTTAACAAACACTTATAGAGCACTTACTATGTGACAGATATTATTATAAATACTTGAAAACTATGAACTGATTTAGTTCTGATTAAAATTCTGTGAGTTATGAGCACTATGATGATCCCTATTTTGCAACTGAGTATACTGCTCAGAGAAGTGACTTTCCCAGGGTCACATAGCTGGTGAATGGCAGAGCCAAGATTTGTTTTTCTTTAAAGATGACCAGTAAGGGGATCTTAACCCTTGACTTGGTGTTGTCAGCACCATGCTCTCCCAGGTGAGCTAACCGGCTGTCCCTATATAGGGATCCGAACCTGTGGCCTTGGTGTTATCAGCACCACACTCTCCCAAGTGAGCCACGGGCCAGCCCTCAGAGCCAGGATTTGAATGCAGGGAATCTGGCAATGTCCCTGCTGTTCTGTGCTGTTGACAGAGAGAAGCTCCACCTACGCTGGGAGCAGCCTGATGACAGGGCCTGATGTTCTCTCTGTATCCCCAGTACCTGGGCCTTAGCAGGCCTCTGTCAGCTACTGAGCAAAAATAGGATGGAGGGCAAGTAGCAGAGGTGCCTGTCTGGTTATTATTTTTGTTTTTTGGTTTTTTTTGTGTGTGGCTGGCTGGTAGAGGGATTCAAACCCTTGAGCTTGGTGTTCTGAACAATGCTCTAACCAGCTGAGCTAATTAGCCAGCCCCTCTCTGGGTATTGTAATGATAGTTCAGTCAGGGGCTCACCATGTCCCTTGTGCCCACTTCAGGGGATCCAAAGGTGCCAGTGCTGTACCAGGTGGAGCAGACACGAACAGGGGTGAGCTTCTCGGTGCGCTCTGTGAAGGCCATGCAACATGGCAAACCCATCTTCATCTGCCAGGCCTCCTTCCAGCAGGTCCAGCCCAGTCCCATGCAGCACCAGTTCTCCATGCCCACCGTGCCCCCACCGGAAGAGCTGCTTGACTATGAGGACTTCATTGACCAGTGTTTAAGGTGAGAGCCCTGGAGGCTCCAGGGGAGTGTTTTCAATCTGTGATTGCCACCTGTTTAGCGGGCTGTGGAATTCGTTAGTGGATATTGACTAGCATTTAAAAAATATAGACTAGGAAAGAAGATATTGGAGTATATCGTATGTAATAAGGGTAAGAATCCTTTTGTGAAGCTTTAGTTTCAGTTGTATTTTTGGTTTGTGTGAGCAGGTGTGTGTGAATTAGGTCATGGGATAAAATGTAGGGCTTATATTCAGCCAGTACAGGTACTGTTTAACTTTACTGGTTATTAAAATATTGAAATACTTCTGTAGCCACTTGGTAAATAGACACCTTCCCTGTCCCCTAAGTGATCCCCTCTCCTCCTTCAGGCCCATGATCAGCAGCTTAGGAGTTAATGCCTGACATTCTAGGACCCTGCTGCAGAATGGCCCACATTTAATTGATCACTGCCTTTGCCTTAGTGCATGTGAAATATTTTGAATATCACCTGGTAAAATGTATTTCTTATTTGGATCACAGCTAATAAAGTTTGAAAAATGCTGGTGCAGGGGAAAGAGCTCTGGGTCCAGATATAGGACAGACACATAGATTCCCGCCAGGGTTGTGCCTCTGCTAGTGCTCACCTGCTGTGTGACTCTGCCCAACTTCCCAACGTCTCAGGGCCCATTTCTTCATCTAAAATATAGGAATGGTCATTTCTGCCCTGCCTACTTCCCAGCTGTATCATAAGGAGAGAACTTCTTTTATCTTGTGCTGGATGCTGGGGAGGCAGCAGGATGTGATGGGATGGATATGGGTTTGGGAACCTGAAAAGCCTGTTTTTTTGTTGTTGTTTGTTTGGCAGCTGGCCAGTATGGGGATCCAAACCCTTGACCTTGATGTTACAAGGCTACAAGGCTATGCTCTAACCAACTGAGCAAACCGGCCAGCTCCTAAACCTGAAAAGCCTGGATTCAAATGTAGACTCTGTCCCTACTAGCTGTGTGAGTTTGGGCAAGTTGCTTTCCCAGTCTGAGCCCATATACCCTCAGTTATAAAATAGTGCTAATCATAATTCCTAACTCACAAGGCTGGTGTGAGGATTAAATGAGACAAGGAATATAAGGCATTTTAGTGGTTGGTTGCTCAGTAAATTGTAGTTATACCACTATTAACAGAAAGGAATAGTAAGGGGCCTGGTGTGTGGTTGGAATTCAGCAAATGTTTGCTGAAATGAAAGGAAGGCATTGTTGTTAAAGAATGAATTTAGAGCTGTGCTGTTTAAGGTGGCCACTAGCTACATGTTGCTATATTAAACCAATTAAAATTAAATAGAATTAACAGTTCTGTTCCTCAGTTGCATTAGCCACATTGCAAGCACTCAACAGTCATGTGTGCCTAGTGGCTACCAGAGTGGACAGTGCAGATAAACATTCCATCATCACAGAAGGTTCTACTGGACAGCACTGTAGAGGATAAGGGTGAAAGTGGCAGTACCCGTGAAGAGCTTTATGGGTGGTTGTTACCATGTTGAAGGTGCATCCCTGGAAATGGGCTTCTCCCCCTGGGAGGGGGCGGCACAATGTTCCCTACTGCTTAGGGTCAGTCCAAGTCAGGCAGCCTGTTTCTTGATTTAGAACAATCAAGTAGGCCGGTTAGCTCAGTTGGTTAGAATGTGGTGCTGGTAACACAAGGTCCAGGGTTCGATCCCTGTACCAGACAGCAAAAAAATTTTTTAAATTAAAGATCAAGTGGTTAAGAGTATGAACTGTGGAAGCAGACCACCTGAGTCCAAATCCTGCCTTGGCCACTTTTTTTTTCTTTTTCAATTTTGTCTTCTCCACTTTCTAAGCAAGCTACTTTCTGTGTTTGTTTGTCAAACAGGGGTGATAGTAGTACCTGTCTCACAGAGCGTTGTGAGGAATGAGTTACGTATGTGCACTGCTTAGAATAGTGCATATGATAGGTATGCCTTATTATAATGTGTTGTTTTATATGCATGATCTTGTCTTCTCCAGTATTTGTTATGAAGTGGGTTACTATCATTATCTACATTTTATAGATGGGAAAATAGTCTGAGAGATTACTAACTTGTACACGGCCACATGGCTCATTAGTGGCAAAGAAGGCATTCAAACACTGTACTATCCTGCCTGCCACGAGGACAGGAGAGCTATGGGGATAAGCCAGGAGTCCCCGTGGGAAAATGAGGGGGTCAGAAGAGGCAGTGCAGATGAGAGGCTCCCTCTCTCTTTGGTCTCCCCATCCCTCTCCCCTTTACTTCCAGGAACCCTAACCTCCAAGAGAAGTACCGAGTGGGGATGAACCGAATTGCTGCCCAGGAGGTTCCCATTGAGATCAAGCTGGTAAACCCACCCACCCTAAGCCAGATGCAGAGAATGGAGCCCAAACAGATGTTCTGGGTGCGAGCCCGGGGCTATATTGGTAAGAGGACCCCATGGACTGGAGGAAAACATTCTCCAGGTGTTTAGGCCTGCCACTCATTTGCCCTGTGTGGCCTTAGCATGTTATTTCCCCTCTCTGGGCCTGTTCCTTATCTGCATGATGGGGAAGTTGGCTTAGCTTCTTATCAGGGCTCTCTAAGCCCTTTGCATGGGGAGAATGGGGAGGTGACTATAATCTCAACATAGGACCTTTCTGGGGAAGACAAGACACCTTGCTGAGAGGTTCTTATCCAGGTCCACAGCTATCCATAAGAAGCCTTTGTGCGAACTGGAAGAAGACACTCTTTCCAGGGCCCAGGGTGGGAGACTTGGAGAGTAAAGACTGGATTTCAGTCCTCACCACCCCCCATCTCCCTTATCCCCTGTCACACACATCTCTTGGGCCAGGTGCCCTTGTACAATGACTGGTCTGCACATCCATGCATGGAAGTCCCTTTCTTCCTCATCTCCCTGCAGGTCCTGAGCTGTATAGCCCAGGAACCCAGGGCTAATGGGGCTGGGACCTGTTGCAGGGGAGGGCGACATCAAGATGCACTGCTGTGTGGCTGCCTATATCTCGGACTATGCCTTCCTGGGCACAGCACTGCTACCTCACCAGTGGCAACATAAGGTGCGCTTCATGGTGTCGCTAGATCACTCCATGTGGTTCCACGCCCCCTTCCGAGCTGACCACTGGATGCTTTATGAGTGTGAGAGCCCCTGGGCTGGTGAGTGTGGGACCATGTGGGACCAGGGCACTGACTTTGGGGTGGAGGGGAGCCTGCTTTCTCAGGTGTTGCTGCCTCCCCTGACTCCTGCGGGGCACTGCACAGATCATTTCCTCTTCTGTCCCCCCAAGCTTTGGCATCCTCATTCTTCAAAATGACAGGGTGAAGCTCAAGGACAGGACATCGGGCCGGCCCGTGGCTCACTCGGTAGAGTGCGGTGCTGATAACACCAAGGCCATGGGTTCGGATCCCATATAGGGATGGCCGGTTCGCTCACTGGCTGAGCGTGGTGCTGACAACACCAAGTCAAGGGTTAAGATCCCCTTACCGGTCATCTTTTTTAAAAAAAAAAAAAAAGGACAGGACATCTGCTCAGTTCTAAATTTTTATATAACATGCTGGGAATGTGATTCACTTCATCTCAGAGACCCAGTCCTAATCCCAGAACCACTTCAGATTCTCTTTATGAACTTGAGCAAACCTTATCTCCCCCTGTGAGCTTCAGTTTCCCCATCTAAACAAATAGGGTTACCTTACAGCAGTGGTATCCAAACCTGCTATCGCATCAGAATGCCACTTGAAGGAGCAAAATAGATTCTGATTCCACCTCCAAGATTCTGACTCAACAGGTCTTGATAAGGTCTAGGAAACTGTGTTTTTAAGAAGCTCCCTAAGTGATTCTGCTGATTAATCTGGTTGGGGGTCAGGGCACAGTCTCTAAGCGCCTCACTACTTGGACACTCCTTGTAGGGGATAGAGAAACCTAGACTCACTCATCAGTGTCTAGTTTCAAACCTGGACAGAATTGAAGGGGACTCTTTGTACTCAGGGAATGGGTACTCTCAAGTATCAACAGCATCACAATATAAGGTAATAACCCTGAAGTTAGGACACTTGGGTTCAGATTTGGCCTGATCCTTGGGGCCAAGTTCCTGAGGCTCTCTGGACTTTAGTGTCATCATTCAGAAAAAGGGACAGTAAATGCCTGCTTCATCTGGCTACTGAGAACTGAGTGAGTTCTGCTATGTGTAAGGGCAACCAACAGTTCTCTTCATAAACATTAAACTCAAGCCCAAGGCCAGCAAAGGAGAAAGAATCTCCAGGTGGTGAGGGAGGGGTGGCCAGCCCTCATGGCTTCAGTTTCCTTCCCCTGACCCCTTCTTCCCCTTGGTGGTAGTGGTGGTATTTTTCATGAATTACCAGCCTGGAGGACCTGGCTTGATTTATGATAAAGGGAACTGATGGGTTTCCTAACACAAGTGACCATAGGTGCAACAGGTCTGCTTGGCCAAGCTATTAAAGGAGACTGTCCTCAGAGTTCCTCCCTCTGTGATCTTTTTGAGGAAGCAAGCAGATATGTGAAATTGCTTTTACACTGTCAAGTGGAGTCCCTGTGGGGGGAGTTACCCCCAATGACTGTCCATAATAGGCTCATAAAGGGGCACCTGGAGATTTGGAGGAGCTATAACACTCAGTGTGCCCTTTTGTGAGGCAGCCCTGCCAAACCCTTTTCAAGAAGTGTGTTTGGCTATGCTGAAGCAGAGAGAAGGCTGTTCTCACCCTTCTCCTCATCCACAGGTAGCTCTCGGGGGCTGGTCCATGGGCGGCTGTGGCGTCAGGACGGGGTCTTGGCTGTGTCCTGTGCCCAGGAGGGCGTGATCCGAGTGAAGCCCCGGGTCTCAGAGAGCAAGCTGTAGCCAGAGGTACCAGCTTGGCCTGAGGCTTTAAAAACTTCCCTTCTACCACATTCCTGAGGCAGGAGTAAAAGTCAAGGGCTGGCCTTCTGCCCCTCAGATCCAATAAAGAGACTGATACCACTGGGACGGCTGGCTTTTAATTCCCCTGGGCTGGAACTGTGGCCCTCCCTCCATCCCTCAACCCCAGGACACCAGAGGCAGTCCCAGGCCCTTCAACTAGGCTGCCTCGCTAGCTTGGAGGCCCATGGAAAAGGGAACCTTGACCCTAACCTGGGCCACAACCCCTCCTTGTACCATCCCAGGGCAACCCCAGCCAAAGCTTGTCCTGAGCACAGCTCAACGGAAGCAGCAAGTTTCCTTGGTCTGCTGAAAATTCTCTCTTATGGAACTTCTAGGGGCTCCTAGCACCCCTGCAGCCTCCCAGCTACTTTCCATATCCTCATCAGGGCCTTCCCCCCATCCTGGGGAAGCCTTCTCCCCACAGTGGCCTTAAGTCAGGGCAAGACTTAGTCCAGCACCTCCTTGATGAGCAATTCTTTGAGACTGGGGGGTGGTGTGGGGGTAAGGCCTGCCTCCTGCAGAGCCTGGAGCTGGGCCTCTGACTGGCGTTTGTCCAGGCCCAGGCGCCAGGAGAGCCGGACATGGGCCTCCAGAAATGGTGCCATCAAAGGATGCGGGCTCTTGTCCCCCAGCAGCTGCAGGGCCCTCTCACAGCATGCTCGGGCCTCACAGGGGTCCTCTAGTTCCTGGTGGCATACTGCCAGCCCAGCCAGGGTCAGCAGGGGGCGGTCTGGGCCAGAGGGGGTGCCCAGCTGGGCCTGCAGCTGCCAGGCATTGGCCCACAGTGCCAGAGCCTCACGATAGAGACCAGTACAGGTGAGGCTCTGTGCTCGCCGCAGCTCTGGAAGCACAAAGAAGTCCTGCAGGTCCGGGGCATGGCGCAATTCAGGCACTGCCTGTAGGTGGCCCAAAAATTGCTCAAAGGCCCGGCTACGGCGGGCAATGGTCTCGGCGGTAAAATTCCGGCGCAGGCGCTTACGGGGGAAAGAGATGGCAGCCATGGGGCCCCGGAACTGCCTCTGCAGGTTTCGGTGCAGCCGCTCAAAGTCCGAGTAGCGGCGAGAGATCTGGGCTGGCTGGCGATCCGGAGGCCCTGGGCTCATCACGGCGAGGGTGTAGAGCTGCAGGAAGGGTGGGTGTCAGGGCAGGTGCCAGTTGTCCATGGGCCTCTTCCTTCCCCAGCCCCCACACTCCAGCTCTGCTCCCCCACCTCTTCCCTTCACCCTTGGGACTGGGCCCAGGAGGATGGGAGTTGCTGGGGTAGCGGCCTGGAAGCCCAATCCCATCTTACCTGAGGCTTGTCTGAAATGGCCCAGGCCCAAGGCAGCACAGGGAAAAAAAGACAGAGATGAGCTTCAGTGTCTGGGGCTGCTGCCCCTTTTGCCCCTTCTGGGGAGTACTCCATTTCCATAGGGCAGTTAGTTCTTCTGATAGCCCTTCTGGAAGACTGGGGGTGAGCTGAAACTGAGGCCAATCTCTCAGGCCTCTGAGCCAACCTTTAGGACCAGCTTGGAGCTGTGTTCCACTCTGGACACACAGCCCCTACATTCCTGACCAGACTATTCCAAACCAACTCTGGAGGACAGGGCTTCAGACAGCCCCAACAGCAATAAGTGTGAGAAGTACACTGGATTAGGACTCAAGTTCAAACCCCAGGTCAGCTACTCCCTCCCTTTGTGACTTCAGACAAGGCAGTTCTCCTGTGTGTCCACTTCCATCTCTAGTGACTGAAGCACTGGGTCAGGTCAGTGTTTACTCAAGTATGGGATGTGTACAAGCTTTGGTACCTGACGTTTCTAGGTGGTATGCACTAGAGTAAATACCACTGCATCAGAGACAGCAGGTGATTCTCTCTTTAATTATTTTTTAATTTTTCTGACTACAAATTGAGAAACTCACTGTTTGGTTTAAAAAAGCACTTCTCTGGGGCTGGCCTGTGGCTCACTCGGTAGAGTGCGGTGCTGATAACACCAAGGCCCCGGGTTCGGATCCCATATAGGGATGGCCGGTTCGCTCACTGGCTGAGCGTGGTGCTGACAACACCAAGTCAAGGGTTAAGATCCCCTTACCGGTCATCTTTTTTAAACCAAACAGTGAGTTTCTCAATTTGTAGTCAGAAAAATTAAAAAATAATTAAGTAGAGTGCGGTGCTGATAACACCAAGGCCCCGGGTTCGGATCCCATATAGGGATGGCCGGTTCGCTCACTGGCTGAGCGTGGTGCTGACAACACCAAGTCAAGGGTTAAGATCCCCTTACCGGTCATCTTTTTTAAAAAAAAAGCACTTCTCTAACACTTATCTCCATATTTAGAAAAGAGCCAGCAAGCAAATCTCAGGTCAGGGCCTTCTTCAGGCAACAGCATTTAGGCAGGCTTTAATGACATGTTTCACTTTCACTACTTTTGTTTTTATGGTTAGCTTCTCTTTATGGCAAGTGAGGCTTTCCACATACAGTAGTGCTATAAAGTAAACTCATTTACGGACAAAAAATAGGTTCATTTAAATAAAAATGTTAAGCAAAGAATGATACAAATGGCATTTTAGGTAAGACAAGAATCGTAAAGGTGGTACTGGAATGACTGAGGTGTGAGAAACATTAAACGAGATGACCATTAAACTCCCCCCAGGTCTGAGAACCTTAATATGGATTAATCTATAATAATGCTGAGCAAGAGGTTTAAAAGGGGAGTTAGCAAGCATTAGATGTTAAAGGCATACTAACACCAAACCCAGATTTTTCTCTTGAATTCATTCTGTGGAATTGCCAATATTCTAGCCACTCCTGGTCAATTAGATTTGCCTTTCTATTTTTCTCTTAAAGGTGCACAGTGTACACTAGTACTAAGGATTAAAAAGTTTAACAATAAAGAAGCCTATTTTACTGTCATTTGACTCTGCATTCCCCAAACATACTGCCTGCAAAATCTTTTATTTATTTTTTGGAACAGTTATCAACATTCCAGGGAACCAATTTTCTGCAGGACACACTTAAGGAAGCACTAATCTATAAAACCCCCTTATTGTTCATCTAGCTTTTATTTTTATTTTTAGGTAAAAAACCATTTTATATCCATTATCACATCATATCCTTGTTATGTCCCACTGAGACAGATAATAATGATAGTAGTTCCATTAACTGAGCACTTACACTGTGCCATATGCTGTACCAAGCACTTTCACATGTATGATTTCATCTAATCATCACAAGAGCACTGCAAAGAAGGTATCCTTATCTCTGTTTAACAGCTGAGAAGGCAGGCTCAAAGAGGGCAAAGGGCTCAAAGACTTGCCTAGAAATGGCTCAGCTGAGATTCAAACCCAGTTTAATCTGGTTCCAAAGCCTGTGCTTTTCACCCCCAGAAGGAGTAATATGGGAACTTAGGATCCTCATTGTACAGAGGTGACTTGCTTCTCCAGACATGGTCCAGGGCATATTTGGTCATCTTGCTCTATCTTGTCATTCCCTTCCCATCCAGGTATCCAGAGTCACTCCCATTCCTGCCTGCCTCTGAGCTACTCCTTGGTATCCCCTTCCTGCACATGATCCCTTGTCCACCCCAGAGATCTGGGACCTTTGCCACTTAAGATTTGACCATGAGAGTCAACCCCTGCTCAAATTGGAGCAGTCACTACATGGGTGTGGCCCTTGTTCTCTAATAGCAACAGAGAGGAGTGGAGAGGCCCAGATGTGGAATAGGGCTCCAGGCCCCCATCCAGCTGAGTCAGAGGTGGAGGAGGGTGGTGAAGAGGAGGGAGTGAGAGGCAGGGAGTGAGAGGCAGGGAGCTGCCACTGCCAGGACCAGTTGGTTCAGCTGGGTTTCAGGCCTGGCTGGGAGCAGGACTTGACAGACCCCATTCTCCATGTCAGTCTCTCCTCTACACTGCAAGGAAAATGGACTCCAAGGCTCTCCCTCACACTGCTCTTCACAACAACCCCCACCAACCCTCTAAGTCTAGCACCTAGGACAAGATTATTTCATACAGGGTGGGTGCCTGTGACTTGATTCACCTGAGATCCAAGGAGGCCACAGCAGGCCCTAGATGCCAGACATTTTCAATCCACAGTTAAATAATAATAATATAGCTACCATTTTATTGAGCACTTCATAATACCAGGCACAATGGTAAGGGCTTTTTGCACAGTCTTATTTAACTCCTGCTACAATCCTCTGTATTATCTCCATTGCTCAGATGAGGAAACTGAGGGTCATCAAGATTACACAACTCACCCAAGGTCAAACAACTGGTAATAAGTGGGATGTCAGTCAAGGTTGGTCTGGATCCAAAGACCATTTCCTTAATCACTAGCCTATGTAAGTTGGGTTTCAAGTCTGACCCAGATAACATCCTTCCCTCTGTATCTTGCATCATGCTACAATTTGCAAAAACCTTGGGTTGCAGGGAAGGTAGCACACAACTAGTTGTCTTAGTCTCAAAACCAGTAGAGGAGGCAAGTCTCTAACCCTTTGCCTGAGGACTTGCTCAAGTTTCATCCCCTTTCATGCCTCCATTCCTCCATCTGTAAAATGGGGCAGCCATTTATCACCACACAGCCAGACGCCCCCAAGAAGTTGGAGTTTTCCGTATACTCTCTTAGCCAGACTTCTAGACTCACGGCCCAGGGATTCCTGGACCCTCACTCACCACGTACTTGGAGGGCGGGTCCTTGACAACGTTGGCGCTGGTCACCTCAAAGAGCAGCCGCTGGGGCACCAGGGTGTTCCGGGATTTCTTCCAGAAATCCTGCAGCTGCCGCGCCAGGAGCTGACTGCCCCGCTGCCCATCAGCTCGGGGGCTCCGTTCTGCATAAGCACATGACCAGTCACCTAGGGCCAGGGTCGGCATAAACTATGTGCCAAGATCTCACTCATCATCACAACGGGAGGTACCCTTTATCCCCATTTTGCTGAAATGGAAACGGGGGGTCAGAGAGCACCAGGTGCCACACACCATGCCTGGTAGACAGTAGGTGCTAAGTAACTTTACCCCCCAAACATCGCTAGCACATCATTACCATTTGTGTGCCAGGCCCTGTATAGTTAATGCCCGCAACAACTCTGAGAGAGGAGTGATTTCTCCCATATGACACAAGGGAAAACTTGGCTCAGAGAGGTGTTGCCAACCCCTCAAGATGGCTGAGGGCGCTTAAAGAAACGTCGGAGTTTCGGCTGGATCAACTCAGAGCTCCCGAGATGCTCCCGGGAACGCGGCTGGGATGGAGGCCTAATGAGCTCCAGGGTTCCCGCCTCCGTCCTCCCGCACTCGCCTGCGTCTTCCACCGACGCCCCGTCCCCGGGGGACAGCGGGTCGGGGCCGGCTTCCTCCTCGTCCTCGTCCTCGTCCTCGTCGTCCTCGTCGTCCTCGGCGCTGGTGAAGCTGAGGGTGCCGCTGAGACGGGAGGACAGGCCCTCAGCGTCGTCGTCCTCCAGCTCCGAGCTTTCCGGGAACTGCTCGGCCTCAGGGCCAGCCGCCGCCTCCCCGGGGCCGTCGCCGGCCAGGGCGTGCCGCAGCCGATGCAGGAGCCGCGAGGCCATGGCACCCTGGGGGGAGTGCGCGACTCTGGGTCCTGGGCAGGGGCAGGAGGAGGACCCCCAGACCGCGCAGGAGGAGCAGGGGCGGGGCCTCCGCCGCGCCCCTCCCCCTCTGGCCTGGGCCCGCCCCTGTCCTGCAGGGGGTCCCGCGAGCCCCAGGACCCAGCCCTCGTCGCTTCCCCCGACCCACGCAGCGTAGGGCCGCGTTCTTCCCGGGAAGGGCCTGGGACCCTCCGCAAGTCTCTTTCGCCCCCTCGCGCGCCTCTACCTCCTGCTTCCCGGGGTGCGCTCAGGGGCGCGCCGCTCCCCGGGGGTCCCGTGCAGCCCCGCAGCGGCTCACCCAGGCCGGCTGGGCTCCGCCGGACCCAGGCCGCTGCGAGCGCCGCTCCGGCTGCTTCCTGCCACCGCCCCGCCCCCCGCCCCGCCCGCCTGCCGGAGCCACCAAAGCCCGGGTCTGTCGCTGCGGGAGGGAGTTGGGAATCTTGGGTCGGCCTGAGGGAGCCCTGGGCCTGCTTCGGAATCGTCCCCAATCCGGGCCAGGTGCGCACCCTCCTTCAATCCTCCCACCAGTCCCGGAGACCCAGGTCAGCCCCAATCTATTTCCTCCAACTTCCACTCAGCGCTGTTTAACTTTATGAAATAGTAATACGACATTAGGGAGCCCGTTTCTCCAGTGAGAAAACTGAGGCCTAGAGAAGATGCGTGATCTGGGTTGAAATCTGACCTCACTGAGCCTACGTTTTCTCATATGTTGAACAGGGACGATAATACTAATATTAATTTTGTAGCTGTTGTAAGAATCCTAGTCCAGCGCCTGGCATAGAGCTGGGGCTAGAGAAACGATTGGTGACCTAATGACTATTGTTCCTACAATGTTAACAGCCTTTCACAACCTCATTTGAGCCTCACATATGGGAAGTAGGCAAAAGGGGAAACTGAGACCCAGACAGGCTGAGTTACTTGCCCAAAGATTTCTGAGTATGGGTCTTGGAGCCCAGGTCACCTGAGTTCTGTATACTGTTCTTTTCCCACGCAGCAGGCCTGGTAATCCAGTCTCATAAGCTCCTCTGGAGCTCAGTGTTTTATCTTATCCCCAGGGCAGCAGCAGGTCAGGAAGAATTTATTGTCGGTTCTTGTTAGAAGGCCTAGATATCAATCCCTAGCTGGGCAGATTTTGCTAGTTATACAATAAAATAAATAAAATCTCTCTGACAGTAGCTTTTACCCTATCTCTGGCCCAGGAGAGAGGGGTGGGGGGAAATACCTTTGAATGAAAAAACACCCTCCCTGCCCTCCATATGAGTAGACAGGTCAGACTTTCATTTTTGGGGGGTGCCACTGTGTCCTACACCCTGTTCTAGGCAGTTTAGGTGCTGTCACATCTTACCCTCACTACATCTGGAGGAGGAGGCTGTTACTGGACAGTAATGGTCCATTTTCAAGATGAAGAAACTGAGGCAAGCCTTACAACACCAAGGTCATGAGTTTGGATCCCCTTACTGGGTACTGGCCAGCTGCTAGCTAGCTAGCTAAATACATACATACATACATACATACATACATACATTAACTAACTAACTAACTAACAGAGGCAAATTGACTTCTCTAAGATCCACATCTGGGAAATAAGGGAGCTAGGACTTAAGCCCAAGTCTGTGTAATTTCAAAGATCTGACTACGCTCATTTGGCTTACAGGCAGGGTATCAGGGCAAAAAAGACACACTTCATTAATTCATTCAACACTCACTCACCTACCATTGGCTGAATATTAACTTGTCCTTTGATATATGCTTCACAAGTCTGGGTACAAAGCTGGTGTTTATAAAACGACAGGTTGTCAGGGCAGAAGGATCCTCTAGAAATCTGGTCTATCATTTCTGTTTTACAGATGAGTAGTCTGAGGCTCAGCAAGGGGAAGGGGCTTATTCTGGGCCATACAAACAGCATCGGAACTAGGAGATCTATTGATGTCTTGTATTCTCCACCACTCTTAGCCTCTGTATGGATATTTTCCTACAGCCACCTAAGAGATGGTCATCTATCTCCTGTTTGTGTGTACTTAGTGACACAGAGCTCACTAACTCCTGAAACCGCCTCTTCCCGTTATTGTCAATAGTGACTGTTAGGAAGTTCCTCTTTATGTTGAACTAAATGCCATTCGGTTCAGTTATTCTTACATGTAATATAGTATGTAGGTATGTATGTATTGATTGATTGATTGATTGGCAGCTGGCCGATATGGGGATCCAAATACTTGACCTTGGTGTTATAAACATGCTCTATCCAAATGAGCTAACCGGCAGCCCCAAATATATTTAATTGAACACCTGCCACGTTCTGGGTGCTGGGAAATTCTATGGTGAACAGGGAACAGTTTCTGGCCCGTGGAACTCAGAACAGGTTGTAATCATAAGGCATGCTCAAGGCTATGATTGAGGAGATTACTTGGAGACCACCTTGGGCGCCCCTGGACTGGGTGTAGGGGAGGAGAGATCACTTCCAGGGGCAAGGAAAGTAGGCAAGTGAAGAGAGGGCAGATGGGAGTTTCTGGCAGAAAAAAATAGCATATGGAAAGGCCTGGAGGTTTATAAAGGATGGCGTTTGGGGCAGCATTTAAGTACAGATGGCCCCTGACTTACAATAGTTTGACTTATGATTTTTTGACTTTATAATGGTGGGAAAGTCATATTCATTTAGTAGAAACTGTTCTTTGAATTTTGAGTTTTGGTCTTTTCCTGGGCTAGTGATATATGGTATGATATTCTTTTGTGCTTCTGGGCCACGGCAGCCAGCTGTGGCTGCAAGTCAGCCATGTGATCACAAGGATAAATAACTGATACTATACTTTATGGTGCACTGTGTTCAATGAACTATGTGAGATATTAACACTTTATTATAGAATATGCTCTGTGTTAGATGATTTTACCCAACTGTAGGCTAATGTAAGTGTTCACAGCATGTTTAAGGTAGGTTAGGCTAAGCTATGGTGTTCAGTATGTTAGATATATTAAATGCATTTTCAACTTATGGATTTTTTTTTTTTAAAGATGACCAGTAAGGGGATCATAACCCTTGACTTGGTGTTGTCAGCACCACGCTCATCCAGTGAGCTAACCAGCCATCCCTATATGCGATCCGAACCCATGGCCTTGGTGTTATCAGCACCACACTCTCCCGAGTGAGCCATGGGGTGGCCCCAACTTCTAGATATTTTAAACTTACAATGAGAATATCAGGATGTAACCCCATCATAAGTTGAGAAGCATCTTTATTTAAGTCTGACCAGAGCGGAGCAACACACAAGGTGCAGAGTGGTGGGGGAGTGAGATTACAGGGGCTGGTGGGACCTTGTTTGGCCACCCTAGAAGTTTGGACCCTATCTAGTTCCCTGAATAAACAAAAGGACAAATTAATAAACAAGTGATTGCTGAGGGTTCCACACACTCTGTTCCAAAGGGACCAAATGGTTCCAGTGTTTGTATCCAAATTAGAGTCCCCTAGGTATCACCCCTTGGCCCTCTGCCTGGCCTCATTTAGCCTGGCCTGGCTCTGTTGAGCTTTCCTTGGAATGTCTATTTATAGGGGAAGGGGGCAGCCCAGCTGCCACTGTCCATCTGCCTTCCTTGGTGTCCAGCCCCACTTTCCTGGCCCCAGACCTTGCTCTCGGTTGTCTCAGTGCTCCTTCTGTTGACTTAGCCACTGTCCATGAGCCTTGCCTACTCCCCAACACCCATCCTGGACCCTGTGGATTCTCAGGGTGGGCTCCCTTCAGACTTGATCTGCCTACCCCTTTACTCTCCATATGACCAGCTGAGTTCCTCCAAATTTTTTCACTGAGCCCCAGGAAGGGGCCAACTGCCTCTTTATTACTTAAAGAACCTTCTCTTGCCGCACCCCTTCCCCCGCAAAAGTGAATTCCAAACACCATTTCCGTGGAGAAGGTAAATTTGAGAGAAGAATCTTTACTTTCAATGGTTATTTTTCCTGCAAATGCATACGGCTTCTCCTTGACTCCTCCCACACTTTTTCTGGCCGGGTTCCCTTAGGACTGACTGTCACAGCTTCTCCCCAGTCAGGATTAGTAAGAAGAATTGCCAACATTACTATAGATGTTTATGATTACAAAGCTCTCTAGTCAAATGGGGATAATAATAGTTGCTACCTCATATGATGAGTACTAGATGAGATCATGTGGTTAAAATGCTTAGCACAGTGTGTGGCACTTTGTAGAGATTCAATAAACTATGGCCTAGCTATCACTTTCCCTCCTTCTGTTCCCTGCCTTTTACCATGGTTCAAAGACAGGACATTCCACTTGCCAAGCACTAACACTTTCTATCTGGCACAAGCCAGGTCACTAGGTGACTTACACCTGGGCTCCCGTTTACCATGGTGTCTCTGTGAGGGAGGTATGACTATGTGCATCTTACCGAGGAGGAAACTAGGTTCAGAGTGGCACTGCCACCTGCCCAAGGTCACACAGTCTGCAGAAGCAGGAGTTGGATCTTAGGTTTTGGGCTTCAAGGCTTGTGCTATTCTTGTTCCGCCATGCTGCTTCACTTTTTACTATTTGGATTGTCCTTACCCATCCTGGAACAAGTGCACCTCCTGAGGGGGGCTCTCTAAGGTAGTGGAGCAGGGCGGGCCCTCCTCACAAGAATCTAGGACGCCAAGGCCTGCCATCTGCTCAGAGGCTTAAATTTCTCTGCAAGGGCCCTTGGCTAAATTAGGTAATGGGTTAGGACTCTGGGAGGGGTGGGACTCACTGACCCCAGGATCTGATTGGGCAGAGTATCCAGTCCCGGGGAGCAGGAAGGTGGGAGGAGAGGATGCCCCTACAAATCCTGGGGACTGGAGTGGGCCAGGGCATCTTTAGGTGGTGGAGTGCAGAGGAGGTGACCTTCAGTGGAGGAGTCCCAGTGATCAGCAACCATGGTAAGGACAAGAAGGAAGGAACTTTACTCCTTTCTCGCTGGAGCATCTCTGGGCCTCTTTCAGGCCAGATCTGGGTGCTCTGTGTGGCAGTAATTTGGGCATTTGAAGGTGGAACATAAGGTGTTCCATGTAGCCCAGGTGTCTTGGAGGAAGCCTGGGAAGAAAGCCTTTGGCTTCTCTTGGAAGGGGAGGGCTGGGATATTCCAGGAATTGATCCTCAAGGCTTCCTGATTTCCTGCCCACTTTCTGAGACTTCCAGCAATGTCATTACAGAGCTGTGAGAGGGTCTTACCTTGTCTCCTTCATTGTAGAGATAGGGACCCTGACGGCCAGAGTGAGTGGCCCAGCAAGCCAGTGGCAGGGGTGCAGTAGAAGCCTGTCTGGCCAAATGCTTCTATTGTCTGTGAGAGAAGGGCTCCTTTGGAAGATGGGAGGTCTGCAGGGTCTGGAGCCAGCTCAGGTGCTCTTGGAGCCCCAAGGGTGATGGGAAGGGGTAGAAGATGACAGACCAGAGTTAGAGAGACCCCAGCCTCCCAGAGAAGGGTTCTGATTTGGGGCTGTCATCTTACTCTGAGATCTCCCTCTCCACTTCACTTCAAGGAGTAACTAGACCCCAGAGGCCAGCTGCTGTTGCCCACACCCTACTAAAAATAGTCTGCCCTCCTGGCATGGGGAAAGAGGAAGGGAGGAAGGAAGGGGAGAAGGAGGGCCAGCAGCCAGCGGCTGAACTCCTTGGATGCCTCACCCCTTCCTCACCACCAGCCTCAGTCCAAAGCCCCTGACCTAGATGGCCTGGCTTGGATGTCACCTAGAAGCCCCCACAGAAATTTTATTTTCAGGCTAAGGCCCCAATCACATTCTGCCCATCATGAGAGTGATTTACTCCAATAACTGAATGATAAGGAAACTTAAAATCTCTGTCTCTGCAAATTCTCTGGGGGGCAGGGGAGATGGTGTCTGTCTCTTCTTTCTGGTCCTGGTGCCTGGCCTGACACTTAGCAGGTGCTCAATAACTTTGTGTTGCAATTATTATTTAACAGAGAACAAACATGTATTGAGCAACTATTAGAATGGTGCTGGCACTTTACAAAGCCCTTTTTCTTTCTTTCTTTTTTTTTTAAAAAAAGATGACGGTTAAGGGGTTCTTAACACTTGGCTCGGTGTTGTCAGCACCACGCTCAGCCAGTGAGCGAACTGGCCATCCCTATATGGGATCCGAACCCGGGGCCTTGGTGTTATCAGCACCGCACTCTCCCGAGTGAGCCACGGCCGGCCCAGACAAAGCCCTTTTTCACCCTTGATTTTATCTCCTCCCTGAAAAGCCTTGAAGAGAGTGAAGGCATGCTAAACTAACTTGCCCAAGGTCACTGGGGGGTTCCTGACTCAACATCCCATTGAAAGTGAGAGGGCCTTGGGCATAATCTGTATCTCCTCTCTTGCTCTCAAAACTGGGGTCGGATGATGTGGGGGCACACAGAAGGTATGGCAAGTTTGGAGTTTTTCTTCCAGAGGACCAAAGGGCACTTATAGAAGTGGGGGTTGAGAAGAAATGGGTTAAGGTGACAATCTGCTCTAGGAATGCCCCTGCTGCTCTCTGACTCTTGCGTCTTCTTTAGACGGACCAGCAGGCTGAGGCCCGGTCCTACCTCAGCGAGGAGATGATTGCTGGTAAGTGAGGGTGGGCAGGCTGGGTGTTGGGTGGAAGTGTGCTGGGGAATGTTTTGGTGTCTGGGCAGGGTGGGAGGGTAGGCATGGGGCTGACAGTCCAGTGGCCCTCACCTCAGCCCTCTACCTGCTTTCCCCACACAGAGTTCAAGGCGGCCTTTGACATGTTTGATGCTGATGGTGGTGGGGACATCAGCGTCAAGGAGCTGGGCACCGTGATGAGGATGCTGGGCCAGACACCCACCAAAGAAGAGCTGGACGCCATCATCGAGGAGGTGGACGAAGATGGTGAGCCAGTGGCCCTCAAAGGCAGGGGACAAGGGGGAGAGGCGGGCATCCAGGGTTCGGGGTCAGTCCACCATTTGCTTCTCTCAGGCAGCGGCACTATTGACTTCGAGGAGTTCTTGGTCATGATGGTGCGCCAGATGAAAGAGGACGCGAAGGGGAAGACTGAGGAGGAGCTGGCCGAGTGTTTCCGCATCTTCGACAGGTGCTTTGGGGGCCTGGGAACCGTGGAAGGGGCTGAGCAATCTGAGTCTTGCCAGCAGGGCATGAAAGTTCCTGGGCTGGGGATGTATGAGGGGGGGCGTTGAGCTGCCCAGGGCACCATGCCCTGGGCCCTGAGCCCTGCACTGTTCCTCGGACCCCAAGAAACGCAGACGGCTACATCGATGCGGAAGAGCTGGCTGAGATTTTCAGGTCCTCTGGCGAGCATGTGACGGACGAGGAGATTGAATCCCTGATGAAAGATGGGGACAAGAACAATGACGGCCGCATTGACTTCGACGGTGAGGGCCACAGGAGCTTGGGAAGAAGGGGACGGAGCCCCGCAGTAGCGTGGGGCGAGTGGCACTGGTGCAGCTGGCGCCCACGTGGGTGTCCTTGGCCTTGTGGGTGGGGCTGGGCATAGTCTGACCAAGTTCCCCTGCACCCCTCCCCAGAGGGTAGGGAGCTCTGGGCAGCTTTGTGCAATTTATCAGTTAATGACAAGACATCCCCTCATCGTGGCCAGAACCCTGTCCAGGCCTCCACGTCCCGAGTGGGACCTCTGACCCTCTGTCCCTCTCCTTCCCCGCAGAGTTCCTGAAGATGATGGAGGGCGTGCAGTAAGGAGTGGACAGTCACCTCCCCCGCCGCGTCCGTCGGGCGTGGACAGCTCCACCCGCGTCTGGTCCCTTCTCCGCCCCACGAGGGAGGCGCGGCCCCTTCTGAGTCTGTGTCTGGAAGGAATAAAAGCAAACATTGGAAAGCTTGTGGCCTGAGTGAGCGGAGGACAGGGGCAGAGGGTCTCAGGGGCAGTCTGGCTGAGTCGCCATCCAGGGCGCCACCCGGAGGGGCTTCGGTGATCGGGTGAGAGGCTGCTCCGGCGGCGGGAGGCAGAAGGGGCCGCAGGAGGCCGAGGCGGCGGCCGCCCGGTGCCGGGCGGAGCTCGGCGCGCTCTGCAGGTTCGCGGCCGGCTACCGGCGGCTGACGCTGGGTGTGGGCAGCGCGGCGGGCGCGCGGCGGTGCGCCTGGAGCTGGAGGAGGGAGGCCGCCGGGGGTTCGAGCCGAGTCAGGGTGAGCCGGCGGCCAGCGGAGGGGTGGCCGGACGGCGGGCAGAGTGAGGGCGCGGCAGGAGGCTGGAACCTGGGGCAGAGGGGTGAAGCCCCCTCACTTCCTCGTCGTCATTCTTTTCTGGAACCCACCGGGCTGGGGACAGGGGAGTGCCATCCCAGGTGGCACTATTTCTGCTTGACCTTCTACTTGACCTTCTATTGCGTCTGGTCCGAGCGCTTCCTAGGCGCTCAGTACTGGCGATGTAGGGAAGGGTGGAGGAACACAGCCGTGAAGGAAGTCCTTATCTCGACCCTGTCTCCGCCTGGTCTCCCTGCCTTCCTCTTCCTCCTCCAGTGCGCTCAACAGAAGGCCAACAGCATGATCTAGCGAAAACGAAATCTGACCTGGCCACTCCCAGTTGAAAGTCCTTCAAGGCTCCCCATTGCTTCTAGAATCAAATCTGCATTCCGTCCACTCATTCCCTTCCCATAGCTCTCATGCAGTCCAGCCACACTGGGCAATTGATCGTTCCTGATATGGACGTGGGGTGTAATTTTCAAGCCCGTGGGTCTTTGCACATGCAGTTCTCCCTGCCTGAAATGCCTTGTTCCCCTTCTTATAACCCTGGCAAATTCTTCAACCCACAAGACCCAGCTCAGGTACCGTCTCCTCCCTTGATCCCTGTCCCCACTAGCTGTGGATCTAGCTCTCATAACTCTTTGTAGGCAACTGAATTACAATGGGTGTCAAGTCGTAGCTAATTAAGTGTAATGGTAGTTTAGCTTTAGAATCAGGCTGCCTAAGTTTGAATCCTCACTGCCTGTGACAAATTAGACTACTATGTGCCTCAGTTTCCTCATCTGTAAACTGGGGATATGGATAGTACTTACCTCAAGGGATTGTGAGAGTGAGTTAGTGTGTGCAAAGTGCCTAGAACTGTGCCTGGCAAATAGTAAGCATTAAAAAAAATGCTAGTTGGGCCGGCCCGTGGCTCACTCGGTAGAGTGCGGTGCTGATAACACCAAGGCCCCGGGTTCGGATCCCATATAGGGATGGCCGGTTTGCTCACTGGGTGAGCGTGGTGCTGACAACACCAAGTCAAGGGTTAAGATCCCCTTACCAGTCATCTTTTTTAAAAAAAAAATGCTAGCAATTATTATTTTTTGTTTTTTGTTTTGGTGACTGGCCAGTACAGGGATTGAACCCTGGATCTTGATGTTATCAGCACCACACACTAACTGACTGAGCTAACTGGCCAGCCTGCTAGCAACTATTAATATCATTATCATCATTCTTGAAACCGAACTCTGTTATCGTATTCATTGCTACCGCTCTTCCTCTCCATCTCCATCCTGTTCTATTTGCCCCTTTTTGTCCCATTCACAAGTTTCCCAGTTTTTATTTCCAGGCGGGATCAGTGTTGGGGTATAGTAGTCATCACTATTTATTGAGTGTCTACTGTCTGCTGTGCCCTGCTGTGCATTGTCTCATTCATCCACATGACACTTCTAGAGGCAGATGCTGTTATTATCCCCATTTTACAGTTGAGGAAACTAAGGCCTAGGGAGATGAAGTAGACAGGCACACAGATAATCCCTAGACAATATTATGTGATGTGAACAGGAGCAAGGCTCTTAACTGTGGTACCATCTACCTGTTGACAGTTCTACCTGGATGTCCCCAGCACTTCAAACTGAGTCCCCGTCCCCATTGTTTTCCAGTGTTCCCCACCTCTGGGCTGGGATGGTATCCAAGTCAGCAATTCTGGTGCTCATTCTCCACCTCTAATTACTCACTATGCCCTGCTACTTTTTTTTCTCCTTACTTCATCCTTCCTCTCCAGGCCTACTCAGCATCATAACTCAGGCCACCATTGCTTGCCTGGCTGTCCTCCCTGCCATTCACTCCCCAGATGGCAGCCACTGGGATCTTTCTAAAAACGAATCTGATTATGGCACTGCCCTGCTCAAGGCTTCGTTAGCTTCCAGTTGTCCTCAACATAAAGCCCAAACATTTTTTTTTTTTTTTTTTTTCTAAAAGATGACCGGTAAGGGGATCTTAACCCTTGACTTGGTGTTGTCAGCACCACGCTCAGCCAGTGAGCGAACCGGCCATCCCTATGTGGGATCCGAACCCGGGGCCTTGGTGTTATTAGCACTGCACTCTACCGAGTGAGCCACGGGCCGGCCCAAGCCCAAACATTTTAACATGGCCTTATAAACCCATCGTGACCTGACATCCGTGCTACTTTACCAGTCTGTATTCCTCCAGTTCTCCCCATTCCCCTGATGGTCTTGCTGTCTAAGTAATGTGCTTTCTTACTGTAGGGAAAGAGAAGGAAAATGGTCAGGGTCCCTCAGATGTTCAGAATCTTGCTGAGCCTTTGATGTAAATATGCATGCGTACCCAGGTGTTCCTTGGTTGTTGTCTAATGTTTAATTGCGCATATGCACCCAGGTGTTCTGGGTTATGGAGTTAAGTATAAAGGACGAGTGGCTCAGCTCCATGGTGCCCTCTGTCCTCTGGGATGCTCCCGGGGAGGCTGCTACTGCTGCTGCAGGCTGTTGCTGCCAGTGAGTGCTCGCGGGATGCCCTGAGAGGCTGCCGCTACTGCTGAGAACTGAGCTTGTGTCGTCTGCCAGTGACTCCCGGGATCTTTCCCAACTATCTAGCATGGACCTGCGTGTGAGGAGTCTATGTCCCAGCCTGGAGTGTAAGGGGTCTTGACCCAGTTTGTACAATGGGTTTGAAGGGTCTATGGGCCCTAGCCCTAACAATACAAATGGAAAACTTAGTGTAACTAAAATAATGAAACATCTTGGCTTATAGTTACTAATTGCCTAGCCATGCAATTGGTATAGTCACATTGCCCTAACCCAACACTTAAATCTCCCTTGTGGCTCAATCCCCTTCTCCAGAAAGCCCTCCGTGACCCTCCTGTTCTTGGTTAGGTGCCCCACCTCTGAGCTTTCATAGAAACATGTGAGTCCAGCATCCATTGAGTGCTTTTTGTGTATAAGGCACTGTTCTAAGGTCCTTCACCTATCCTACGAGGTAAGTATTAATATTTTCATTTTACAGAGAGGTTGTCTAAATGTCCAGGTGTATACAAACAACATGGTAGTGGAGCCAGGATTCTAACACAGTCCTGCCTATCTGATCTGAGCTCTTAATCACAGCTCTGCAGGGCACTTATTCCACCTTGTTGATAGGCCTCTCTACCCCCTAAACTCCAACCTCTTTGAGAGCAGAACTGTATGCTAAACTGCTCTTTATCCCCAGGCCCAACCAGAGGGCCTTTACCTTACAGGCATTCAGTAATTGTGTTGTTTGAATGGGAATAATAATAATAATACCTTTTAATATTTCCTGTACTATGCTTTTTTTTTGTTGTTGCCAAGTGTCAGAAACCTAAATCAAACTGACTGAAACCAAAAAGGGATTTGTTGCTTCATTGAGCTGGGATGCCAAAGCATGAACTGGAGGCCAGAGTCTCAATGTCATTTCTCTCCAACTCCCAGTTATTTTCTGTGCTTGGCTTTCTTCTGTCTGCAGGTGTCTCCACCAGCAGCCTAAACTGACTCCTTCCTTCTTTAGCAACCCCATTAGTAAAATAGTTTTACTATCCCAGTGATTAATTCCAGAGAATGCACTGATTGGCTCTAATAGAGTTGGGTCCCTGTGACTGACACAAGGTAGGCCATGTGACCATCTACAGGATCAAACAACATATTAAGGACCACATGGAGAGGCTTCTCCAAGGTGGACAAAAATGCCTCCCCTGTTAGCATTTATTAAGAGCCAATTTTTTTTTTTTTTTAAAGATGACTGATAAGGGGATCTTAACCCTTGACTTGGTGTTATCAGCACCATGCTCTAACTAGCTGAGCTAACTGGCCAGCTAAGAGCACAATTTTAGACTTGAGGACACCCAAGCTCAAATCTTAGCCCTCACAACTCCAATTCTTTTCACATGTGGCTGCTCGGTGGGGGTACAGGGCATAGAGGGACCTGGGCTAGCAGGAATAAGGGATGAGGGAAGAACCATCCTGATAGGCCCCCCTGCGGTCTCCTTCCCCTCCCCCCAGGCCTGTACAACCAGCTGCTGTCAGAGCTAATGGGGTGGGGTGTGTAGTCTGAGATCTGGGCAGTGTTGGAGCGTACCTGGCTGCTGTTTGTCTACCTTGGAGATCTTCCTGCAGGACCTGGGCTGGGTCCATCGCCTCAGCCTGCTCTTCCTTCTGCCTGCCCCTGTGGAGATCCAGCTGGTCAGCATGGGCATTTCCTCCCAGGGACTCAAAGGGTGGAGCCTGAGGCAGGCCAGCAGAAAGGGGGCCCAAGGGGCTGGGGGCCTGGGCCAGTGGGTGCAAAGGCTGGAGGAGCGGCTGGTGGAAATGGAGCAGGAGGTGAATGTGCCCCCTTGGAGCATGGAGCCATCCATGGAGGACCTGGGGCCAGGGGCAAGTCCAGAGCCCACTAGTGAGAGTTGACAGGAAAGATGCTCTCTCTGGCTGTCTCCCCATACCCTGGGCCTGCTGTAGGGTGACCTGAACTTTCTCTTTTTCAGGTCCAGAACATCTGTCAAAGTGGGTAGCTGGTTCCTTGTTCTTTTGACAGCTGTAGAGGTTTCAGCCTAAGGTCTGGTTCAGCCTCATTTGCAACACAGCTAGGGCAGTTCCAGTAGTCACTAACATTCCTGCTGCCTGTCACAACTTGATAGAAATAGGCATTATTGTGACACTCATTTTATAGATGAAAAAACATATGCAGTGTCATAGAGTAACCAAGGTCACAGGGAACAAATCCTAGTCACCCCCACCGCTTGGCTCTACTGTCCTATAGAGAACAGGGAAAGAACCCAGATCTTAAGCCCTGCCCTCCACCTACCCTGAGCACCACCAACCATAGGGTAACTGCAAGGTAGCAACTTGTACAAAACCAACCAAAATGTATTTATTTAATATACATCACAAGGGCTCAACCAGATACTTAATTTAAAAAACAGAAATAAAACAAAAATAACACCACAGCTCAAGATACAGAGTCCTGTACAAAAATCAAGGAAAGAACAGACCATCTAAGAAAAAATAAAAAGACGACACAAAGAGAGGCTGGACAGCCCAGGTCAGGGCTCTTGGCTGGAGACCTGCTTTGAGTAGGTTTCTTGCAGGTACTTCTTAAAAGCTGGAAGAGAACAGACAGGTCTCAGTGAGTGATGGAGACAGGAGGAGTCAAAGTGGGCACGAGGGCAGCTTGACCAGGGATGCAAAGGTGCGAGGAGGTTGGGGAAGGGCTGGTTTCCCAGCATGGTAGGCTATCCTGTGCTGCCTACCCAGTCAGGTCTGCTGGGTGAGCGTGTTTCCAGTGAGTGGGAAGGGCACAGGCAATGCATCCTACTAAAAACCCCTCAACCTGCATTAATAGGGAAGGCGTTAATTTCCCATTTTTTATAGCAAAGAGGAGCACCAGGACAGACGCAGAAGTCGGTTAACCTGCCTCCTGCCTAAGTCCCATGTCACTGGCATCCTTTTGTTTGAGAGAGCCTTTGAAGCATGGGCAGGGATCACCCCATGCAGGAGAAGGATGAAGGACTTACCTGTGGGGTTTTTCCAGAGCTCAGCAGCATGCGTGTTCAAAGGGCTATCAATGTTGGGTTCTGTGGGCGGAGAGAAAGAGAATAGTCAAGGGGATAGAAGAGGCTGACCCAGGGGAATCTTGACAGGTACCCAGGCTGCGTGGGAGGGGGTGCTCTTGGAATTTACCTCCTAACAGGCTCTGGATGGAGAGCAGGATGGTCCTGACATCGTACAGGGCAGACCACTTGTCCTTCAGGATGTCCAGGCAGATGTTACCCTGGGTGTCCACATTGGGGTGGTAGCAGGGTGTGAGGAACTTCACCGTGGGTGCATTGTAAGGGTAGCCACTGGGGAACTCAAGGGAGAGTTTATACCTCAGGTCCTCATATACCTGGCATTTGGAGAAATAGGCAGAGAATAAACTTCCCCACCCCAAGCCTCATATCCCAGCCCAAGACCCACATAAGGGGCTTGCTAGGTAAAGTTTTTGCCTGGGACTGGGCAGTAAACAAAATGTTACACTGGTTCCGGTGCTTTCCTCTTATCTGGGGGGCACATCAGTGATCCTTCAGATTAAGGTTGTAAATTGGTATCCTGAAGTCTACCACAGCTGTGCTTTAGTACAATTAGAATATTAACCACTAACATGGAAAAATTAAATTTGATGCAGCTATTTTCTGACCTATCTTAAACCACATTTGCAGCAATGGGAAGCTGCCTTCTTGAGACTTGTGCCCTCCTGTTGGCCAAAGTCCTCACTCCATTCATTCCTTGTTGTCTGGCCCTCTATAAGGCATCCAACCAAGATAGACAGCCCTGCTTTAAACTTACCCTCTTATGTACAGAGGGACAGAACAAGGCCACAAGGCTCATGGTGCATGAAGTCATGGGGGGGAGTGTCTTGCCCAGCTAAAGGCTTGAAGGAGACTTGGCAATTAGATCTCATATCCCACTTTTCCCCAGACGCTGCCAAAGTCACACTCACCCACCCCAACCCTGCACTTACTGTGCCAGCAGCTCCATGGATGGTCCCTACCCATTTGAAAAGGTTGTCTGATTCAGGGAAGGCAGAAATGCCTTTGTCGCCAGACATCTGGGGAGGAAACACAACACTGCTGGATTGCAGAGTACACTTTTGGGCATAGCAAAGGGGGAGAGTGGGTGAGCCAATCCCCCTTAGTCTCATCACACTCTGATCTAAAATAAAACAACCACATGGGTTTAGATCCCGGTATCATCAGTTAACCACAAAAAATAGACCAATCAGACCAAATTGTAGGCTTTTCTGAGGAAGTGATTAAACTCTTGGGGCTGAATATGCCCCTCTGATGACCGGTAAGGGGATCTCAACCCTTGGTGTTGTCAGCACCACGCTCTCCCAAGTGAGTGAACTGGCCATCCCTATACAGGAATCCGAACCCATGGCCTTGGTGTTATCAGCACCACACTCTCCCAAGTGAGCCACAGCTGGCCCTCCAACATGCTATTAAGTGCTGGTTATGTACAAAGCCCAGAGGCTATTCACAGACTAGGGAGATATACAATACTGGTGTAGAAGGATTTGAATTGTATATTCAGGGTTAATGTAGAAAAGGACATCTAGGAAGGGAGCATTCCAAGGTTATGACAGGACTAGAAATACGAAGAAGGGTGGGGAGTTGGATGTGGGTAAAGCTTGGGGCCTGAAAGTAGGGACAGGCAGGACGGGGAAGTCCTTGTATGACTTTGGGGAACTGTGTTTTAGAGATAACTTCATTGTGGCAGGGGATGGAATTGGGAGAGACTGCTGGAAGAAAAGGGGTAGGTCGGGTGTATGAACTTCTCAGAAGACAGTAAATTATACTTTTTTTTTTACCTCCATGTCTAGCAAAGAGCCTGATGCAGGAAAGGAGGATATTGATAATTGGGAGGGAGGTGGGAGGGTGAACCTATTGGCTGGGGATCTGGGCACTTAGTCACTTACCATGAGGGTCATCAGCTCCTGCTGTAGCCTGCAAAAAGAACATTCGGGGTCATCTGGACATCTGGATGGACCAGGCTCCAAGTGGTGGTGCATCTCCTCCCACCCCAATTTCTTCGGAGGAGCTGTCATGGAGGGTTTCCTAATCCCCAAGGTCAGACTCAGCTCTGGGTACACTCACCATGTCCACAGAAGAGTCCTCACCCTCCCTAATTCCAGGCTCCCGCAGGATGTTTCTGGTGAGTTTTTAATCCCCACTGCTTTGGCGTTTTCCCCCGCGCCCGATCCCAATTTCTCCCCTTTCCCGTCCCCACTAAGTCATAGAAGGTCCCTGAGCATCTTCATCTTGGCTCACCCGCGGAGGAATCTGGCAGCGTCCCTACCCCCCGTCTTCCTTCGGGAAGGTCTCAAAGAGCAGCCTGAGCTACTGGCGTGTCCCCCCTTTTCTGACATCGCACCCGCTCCTGAAGGTAGGTGGGAGTCCCGGAAGTCTCCGCCCTCGGCCCCGATGCCCAGGGTATGCCAGCCCCGAGCTCCTGGCGTGGCCTCGCACCTCCGCACATCTATCAGCTCCAGGAGGAGGTGGGGCCCCAGAAGTCTTCGCTGTGTCCCAATGCCCGGGGCATGCCAGACCCGGCGAGTGTTACCTCCGTACCACTCACCTCTTGCCCACAGGGCCCCGGGCAGCGCCTCCGCTGGGCTCTGCTCCTTTACGGGCGGCGGCGACGCTGGCGGCGGCTGGGTCGCGGTTTTGAGAGGCCATTCGGGAGGCGCTGGCAGGAAGAGAAGAGCTCGGAAAACACGACTGCAACTGCAGGGCCGCAGGCCCGCCCGCCCGCGTTTGAATTGTAACCCTCAGGCGGCGTCGGCCAATCAGCGGTTCGCTTGGGTTTGACCCAGCCAATGGGACGCACCGAAGGGCTCTGTCATCGCGCAACTTCTAGGCCCACCCATTAGCGTACCACTATTGGGCGTCGAGATCCTGCTTCTGATGGCTGATTGGCAGGAGAGGCTGCCGTTAACTAAGGAATCTGTTGCGGACTGGTGGCCTTTGGAAAACGCCGACCATTAAAGGGCCAAGAAAACGTCCACGTGGGATGAACCGCTAAAGGTCAAATGTCTTGCCACCTTCGGGAACGCCCGGCACGCCCAGCCTGACCCCTTCTCCCAGGGGGAGGGAGTGTCTCCAATCCTGCGGAACCGGTACCCTTCCCCCAAACCGGAAGCCTCTGTTCCTACCCTTATTATAACGGCCCGGGCACCTTGTTGGGATCCAAAGTATCTGAAAATCCTAGCGAGCGGAACAACTAGAGGCTGGTTGCTAGAGCAGCAGACTCCCCCATTAGAAAACAGGTTCACATCCTGCCTTTCCAACTGGCTTGCTGTGTGACTTTGGGTAGGTCAGTTAGTATGTTGTTTGTTTTGTTTTTTGGTGGCTGGCTGGTCAATTAGTATCTTAACTTGTAAAGTGGGAGTAATAAAAGCCAACTCTGCATTTTTCATAAGGACTGTCGTCAACCCCCCATGAGACTAGCCGTCCCATTCTGCCACCTTCAGCTAAATTAGTTGGGTGAAGAAAGAAATAGAGGGATAGGAAAGGTATATTGTGTTCCCAGATTGATTTCATAAAGCCTGGTTCTATACTGTAATGGGGAAGGAGTAGCTGGCCTTTTTTCCCTACACCCACTTATAGAGCCCTTGATGTTCTGTCATCCCCCACAAGGCAGACTCCACAGCAGGCTCACCATCTGTGTTTATTACAAACTGTTTAATTACTTCTTATCCCAATAACTTTACAAATATAGAACTACATGCCAGTCTGGGGGGTGCTCTGCAGTGAGTCACTACAAACTAGCCCAGGCACAGCTTAATGCCACTGAGATCCAACGAGGAGCAGTCCCAGCAGTGGTCTCAGCCACATGGGGAAGAGGGCCTTAGAGGCAGGCTGCCAAGTGTAGCCAAGGGACCTGGCCTCAAGTCTGTGGAGGTGCTTCAACAGCACGATGCTCATTCTCTGTCCGTAGTGTCTCCATGTACTTTCGCATCTTCTCAACCATCCAGGAGGGTAGAACAAAAGATTTCAGCTCCTCTAACTTCAGGTCCAGGCATCCTCTGGAATAGACATTGAGGAGGCAAACTGAAGAAGCAAGGGAGGATTTAGGTCCAGCCTCATCCCAGGGGCTACTTTGAGGCGGGGGGAGGGTAAGGGGCAGGAGACCCACTGCTTTTACCTGTAGTCATCGCTGGCAGCAAGGTCCCGGATGTCTTCCTCAATGAGGAGGTAGGCCTGGGGCAGGAGCAAGGGAGAGGGGTTATTGCCTCTAATTCATTTCACTGCAACTCAATAACACTATTACATCTGCTTAATGTAAGGCCTGCTAGTAGGTGAAAGACAGGAGGGTGTAGTTGACAATTTAGTTGAAGAGAGTAAGTAGGAAGACTGGAGAATGGTTCCTTGAGACAATCTTTTACTCAAATAGAAACTTTATAGGTGGGAGAAAAGATACTGGTGACTAGCTTATTTACAGCCTTTTCTTTTTTTTTTCGTCTTTTTTTGTGACCGGTAACGGGATCGCAACCCTTGGTGTCGCGCCCGCACCGCACTCAACCAGTGAGCGGACCAGTCTCTATATGGGATCCGAACCCTCGGCGGGAGCGCCGCCGCGCTCCCAAGCGCCGCACTCTACCGAGTGCACCACCGGGCCGGCCCTTACAGACTTTTCTTTTAAAAAAGGACCCGAGGTGGCTTATGACAAAATGTCAAAAGAACTAGCAAAATATACATGGAAACAGGAAATCAGGAGGAAGAAGCCATACATTAAATGTGGTATGCTAAAATAACTTGGTTTTGAGCTTTGTGGCAAAAGGGAAAATATGATAAACTGCACAGATGTCTAGTAACTGGGCTGTATTGTCCTGAGGCACTGCTTAGGCACAATGCCATGATCTGCAGTGGGCGAGAGCTCTTGTGAGCTTACCATATAGGGGATGTTGTTCTTCACATTAGAAAGTCTTCTGTGGGAGACTTTCTAGTCTTCGGGTCAGGAATAATTGTGTGTCCCTTGAGTAATTTGACTGTTTTCATCTTATGGATACTATAAATTGTAACAGATCAGGTGTCCTTGAGAAGCCCCTAGAGCTGAATTTGCAAGTACCTATAGAAGCATACAGGTCTCCCAAGTAAGCAAGGAAAAAAATATCCCAGCTTTTTGTTTAAACCATCTTGCTGGTGGCTTAATTTTAGGTCCTGTCTTTCTTTTTCTCCCCCCATCTATTTCTTATTTATGTTATGTTACCTTTTATGTTATAAGAGGTAAGTTCCCTAAAATCTTTTTGAAATAAGTGTGAGCATAAATAGAGTTTTCAGTAAAATAAAATAAAAGGTAGCTTTCATTGCCAGAAAGCAGATGGCACACCAGTTTGCAAGGCCATTAGATTCTAACAAGAGCATTCCCGGCAATGGGACTACGTGAGTCCTCAGATGGGGAACATTGCATGTGATGGAAAAGCCCTCCACAATAGTTTTAGAACTCATGCAACAATGATTTTCCTAAGGTTGTTGCTTGATATGACCTGAGAACTCTTTAAGTAGAGGTGAGACTGGAAGGGGCTTCCAGGTATGGCAAACACATTTCACTGCACATGCTAACACTCCTATTGACAAGGGGTGCTACCTGGCGTACTATGTTTAGAAAAGATTCTATACTTGTGTCTGGTGGAAGAGTGTTGTAATTGATCTATCAATGGGCACATGAGGGAAAAGCAGTAGTAAGTATTTCTTGTATTCGACATTCCTATGCACAGCTAATATGATCCAAATATGTGGTCTTGGAGGAATTGGGTGTGAAGGTTGAGGGGGCAGAGGGAAACCTAGGGATAGGGAAGGGAATCCAGGGATTATAGTCTGCTCTTTAGCATGAAGGAATGGGCCTTCTAAATCTTTTGCTATGGTTTGAATGTCCCCCCAAAACTCACTGAAGCTTGATCCCCATTTTAACAGTGTTGAGAGGGTGGGAAATCAGACTATGGTACTTGAAAGGTGGGGCCTTTGGTAGGTGACTGGATCATAAGGACTGTCCTCATGAATGGATTAATCCACTTACGGATTAATGAGTTAATGGTTTATGGGTTATCAGGGAGCAGACTAAGGGCTTTATAAGGAGAGGAAGAAAGCATGTAGAAATGTGCTCTTGCTTAGTCCCCACCATCTGATACCCTGCATCACCACCAAGGAGAAGGCCCTCACCAGATGCACCCCCTGGGCTGTGGACTTCCCAGCATACAAAACTGTAAGAAATAAATTTCATTTCCTCATAAATTACCCAGTTTCAGACATCCTGTTATAAGCAGTAGAAAACTAATACATCTCTCATCCCACATTTGTCTTTGGGAGTCTCCCAGATTTGGAGGTAAGCTGTTATCAAGAGCCAGAATCCTGGCCCTTGCGTGGGTGGGTCTTCGGCAGTGGCATATGCAAACAGTGCTTACCATCTTCCCCCCTGTTGCCCGCATGTGATGCTGCTCAGCCAGCCAGTGCTTGTCCTGGGGGTCAGCTGCATACTGTGAGAGATGAAGTTACAGGGGGAGACATTAGTCTACTGTGAAGGGCTTTCCTCATTTGGCCCCAGAACATACTCTTGGCCCTTGAGCAGTTCTTACGAATAAGACCTTGTCCTAGCCTGATAGATGTAGAGGGCTCACTAATCTCTTCAGAACAAGATGAACCAAGCCCAGGAGGCCAGGGCATAGGACCCAATTCCCAGATTTAGTACGCTTCTATTCTCCACCACCTTCCTTTGTAAAAACACAATATCCCTGGCAACCGGTGGTACTGGTGACTATTATTTTAGAGCCTCCTCTTTTAACAAAGGATCTGAGGTAGCTTTTAACAACTATGATTATTATTTCTTTCTTTCTTTTTTTTTTTAGTGTATATCTTTGCACCTTTTATTTTGCAGTTGAATACATATTATAACATAGAATTTTTACCAAAATAGGATCAGAAATTCTGTTTTTGCTTGTCACTTCACCATATGTATTGTGACAATCTTCTATGTCAATGAATATACTACTATATTTTAAAATACATGCAAATATCACATGACTTAGATGTCTAATAATGTATTCTATCTATTGTCTATGTTGACATGTAGTTGTTTCTAATTTTTCTCTATAAAAACAAAACCACAAAGAACATACTTGTATGTACTCTACACATACATATTTGTGCAGGTAATTAACTCTTCCTGAGATGAACTGTTACCATGTACCAGTAGAGTTTTGGAATTTTCTCAGTAATAATCTATGTGCTGACATTTTATTGGGCATTTTGGGTATACTGGGTGACCACATTTTCTAAAACAAAAATTAGGACACCTCATGTACTGGGGGAGGCAGAATAGCATCTTGGTTAAGAATCTGGTTATGGTGT